GCTCTATCTGACACTTAGCTTGGATTATGAGTCAAGTCCCAAACCAAAAATAGTGGTCGGGGTGCCTAGGACACAAGCTGACCCCTGGAATTAGAGGGTGAGTCACCCAGAGTAAAAAGAGGGTGGGGAGGAGTCTTCTCAAGAGACAGGGTCAGAGGTTCAGAATGACCAAGTTTCCAAAGCTGAATAGGTTTAGTTTAGAAAGACATCACAGTCTCTTCTATTTAATGTCACCAAACAACATCAGAATGAGGACACACAAACATATATGTTTGTTCTGTTTCACTTCATTCACATAATACAGCATTGAGGATCTACTCTGTGCCAGATACTATTCTAGACACCAGAAAATTGCAGTGGTTAAGACATAGAGGGACTTCCCTGGCATTCCAGTCATTAAGACTTTGTCTTCCAGTGTAGGATGTGTGGGTTCAATCCCTGGTTGAGGAGTTAAGATCCCACATGCCGTGTGGCCAAAAAACCAAATCATAAAATAGAAGCAAAAGGAGAAAACTGAGAGCATATCAAGTATCTTCTTCAGCCACAGTGGTATGAAACTAGATATTAACTTCAAGAAGAACAGAAAATTTACAGATATATGGAGATTAAAAAAACATGCTGTTGAACAGAGTCAATTAAGAAATCAAAAGAGAAATTGAAAGATACCTTGAGAAAAATAAAAATGGAAATATGAACAAAGCTAGTGGAGGTGATGGAATTCCAATTGAGCTATTTCAAATCCTGAAAGAGGATGCTGTGAAAGTGCTGCACTCAATATGTCAGCAAATTTGTAAAACTCAGCAGTGGCCACAGCATTGGAAAAGATCAGTTTTCTTTCCAATCCCAAAGAAAGGCAATGCCAAAGAATGTTCAAACTACCGCACAATTGCACTCATCTCACATACCAGTAAATAAAGTATGATCAAAATTCTCCAAGTCAGGCTTCAGAAATACATGAACCATGAACTTCCAGATGTTCAAGCTGGTTTTAGAAAAGGCAGAGGAACCAGAGATCAAATTGCCAACATCCGCTGGATCATCGAAAAAGCAAGAGAGGTCCAGAAAAACATATATTTCTGCTTTATTGACTATATCAAAACCTTTGACTGTGTGGATCACAATAAACTGTGGAAACTTCTGAAAGAGATGGGAATACCAGANCAGTCTATCCTAAAGGAGATCAGTCCTGGGTGTTCATTGGAAGGACTGATGTTGAAGCTCCAGTACTTTGGCCACCTCATGCAAAGAGTTTACTCATTGGAAAAGACCCTGATGCTGGGAGAGATTGGGGGCAGGAGGAGAAGGGGATGACAGAGGATGAGATGGTTGGATGGCATCACCGACTCAATGGAGATGAGTTTGGATAAACTCCAGGAGTTGGTGGTGGACAGGGAGGCCTGGCGTGCTGTAGTCCATGGGGTCTCAAAGAGTTGTACATGACTGAGCAACTGAACTGAACTGAACTGAACATACCAAAACTTATGGGATGCAGCAAAGGCAATACCAAGAGGCAAGTTCAAAACGATAGATGCCTGCCACAAGGAATGAGAAAAATTTCAAATATCCTAATTTTATACCTCAAGAAACTAAAAAAAAGAACAAATAAAGCACAAGATTAGTAGAAGGAAGGAAATAACAAAGATCAGAGTGGCAATACATAAAACAGAGCCTAAAAAGACAATAGAAAAGATCAATGAAACTACATTTGGCTTTTTAAAAAGATTTAATAGACAAATCTTAGCTAGGCTCATCAAGAAAAAAACGAGATGACTCAAATAAATAAAATCAGAAATGGAGAGAAAAGACTTTACAGTTGATACCACAGAAATACAAAGAATCATAAGTAACTACTATGAGCTAACAAGTTGGTTAACATAGAAGAAATGAATAAATTCCTAGAAACATACCACCAACCAAGACTGAATCATGAATAGAAAATCTGAAGAGATAGATTACTAGTAAGGAGATTAAATCAGTAAGGAACAATCTCCCAACAAAGAAAAGTCGAGGACTAGAGATTTCACTAGTGAATTCTATAAAATATGTAAAGTATTAGTACCAATCATTCTCAAACTCTTCTAAGAAACAGAAGAGGAAGAAACATTTCCAAATACATTTTACAAGGACAGCATTATTCTGATACCAAACAAGACAAAGATGCCATAAGAATTTCTGCATTTCTTAGCATACCATTAAAAAGACAAGCCATGGAATAGGAAAACATATTGCAAATCACATATTTAATAATGACTTGCAAAGAATTCTCAACACTCAATAAGAAAATCACCCAATTTAAAAATGTTCAGGGAATGCCCTGGCGGTCCAGTGGTTAGGGTGCCACACTTCCACTCCAGGGGGTGCAGGTTCAATCCTTGGTTGGGGAACTAAGATCCTACATGCCATGCAGCATAGCCAAAAACAATAATAATAATAATAAATAAAACATTCAAAAGATTGGGACAGATACCGCAAATAAGATACACAGATGGCAAATAAGCCCATTATAAGATGCTTGATATCATTAATCATCTGGGAGATGCAGCTTAAAACTACAGTGAGGGACCACTAGACATTTTTTAGGATGGATAAGATTAAAAGGATGACCACACCAACTGTAGGTGAGGATGTGGAGCAACTCAATCCCTCATACACTGCTGGTGATACAACCACTTTGGAAGACAGTTTAGCATTTTCTTTAAAAGATAATCATGTACTTACCATGTGACTTACACACTCTACTCATAGGAATTTATCCAGGAGAAACCATATGTACATATATAAGACTTGAACACTAATGTTCACAGTAGCTTAATTTTTTAAAAGTATATTTATTTATTTGACTGCATTGGGTCTTAATGTAGCACACGGGATCTTTGTTGTGTCATGCGGGATCTTTTGTTGCAAAACAGTGGATCTGTCCTTGAGGTTCATGGGCTCTTTAGTTTTGACTAGTGGGTTCCAGGCTCAGTAGTTGTGGCATGGGGGTTTAGTTGCTCCCCAGAAACTTAGTTCCCTGACCAAAGATCAAACCTGATTCCACTGCATTGCAAGGTGGATTCTTAACCACTGGACCACCAGGGAAGTCCCCATAGTAGCATCATTTGCAACAGCCAAAAACTGTTAACAACCTAAATGTCCATCAACAGGTGAGTGGATAAACCAATTGTTATAGATCCATACAAAGGAATACTACTCAGCAGGAAAATCAATGGATGCATGCAACAATATGGATGACTCTCAGTTATGCTAAATGAAAGAAGCCAGACCAAAAAAAGTAGATATTATATGATTCCATTAACATTCAGTTCAGTTCAGTTGCTCAGTTGAGTCCGACTCTTTTCGACCCCATGAATCGCAGCACACCAGGCCTCCCTGTCCATCACCAACTCCCAGAGTTTACCCAAACTCATGTCCATCGAGTCAGTGATGCCCTCCAGCCATCTCTTCCTCTGTCATCCCCTTCTCCTCCTGCCACCAATCCCTCCCAGCATCAGGGTCTTTTCCAATGCGTCAACTCTTCACATGAGGTGGCCAAAGTATTGGAGTCTCAGCTTCAGCATCAATCCTTCCAATGAACACCCAGGACTGATCTCTTTTAGGATGGACTGGTTGGATCTCCTTGCAGTCCAAGGGACTCTCAAGAGTCTTCCCCAACACCACAGTTCAAAAGCATCAATTTTTCGAGGCTCAGCTTTCTTCACAGTCCAACTCTCACATCCATACATGACCACTGGAAAAACTATTAACATTAAACTATAAGAAATGCAAACTAATCTCTAGCAACAGAAAACAGATCAGTGGTAGCCCAGGAGCAGGGAGGACAGGAAAGAGGGATCACAAAGGGGCAAGAGGTATTTGAGGGAGGTGATATGTATCTTCATTACTTTGACTGAAGCAATGATTTCATGGGTGTGTACATGCATGAAAACTTAACCAAACTAGACAGTTTAAATGTGTGTAGTTTATTGTATGTAACATCTACCTCAAGAAAGCTGTTAAGATGGAATATATATTTATAAAATATGTGTAGGGTATAACAAATAATAATGGCTTACCTGGTGGCTCAGTCTGTGAAGAATCTGCCTGCAAAGCTGGAGACCCTGGTTCCATCCCAGGGTGGGGAAGATCCTCTCGGGAAGGAAATGGCAACCCACTGCAGTATTCTTGCTTGTTAAATCCCATGGACAGAGGAGCCTGGTGGGCTACAGTCCATGGGGTCACAAGAATCAGACATGAATTAGCAACTAAACTATGGTAACAAATAATAAAACAACAGATCATTCTTTGTATTCATCACCTGGTTTAAAAAAGTAAATATCATTTTTTAAAATTGCTATGTTCCCCAACCACCCTAAAACCCAGGCTTTCTTGTTTAAAACAGATGGATGTCTGGAAACATTTTTGATATAAATAAGCTCAGTAATGTAGTACATGCATGTATGTGTGCTAAGATGCTTCAGTAGTGTTCTACTCTTTGTGACCCTATGGACTGTAGCCCACCAGGCTTCTCTGCCCATGTGCTTCTCCAGGCAAGAATACTGGAATGGGATCTTTCTAACCCTGGGATAGAACCCACATCTCTTAACCTCTATCATTGCACTGGCAGGAGGGTTCTTTACCCCTAGTGACCTGGGAAGCCCCAGTAATGAAGTGGTTTGGCACAGTTTGAAGGTGAAACTTGCCCTTTAAAAGATGGGCGGCCCAAAACGGTGACTTAAAAATAATCCCATTTTAGGATTATAATAATAATAATCTTGGCCGAGAGACTCTGCCGAGAATGCAAAAGGGAAAAGTCTTGCTAACTATGACCAGACAGGCACGTGCTTTCACTTCTTTTTTAAAAAACCGAGGCAGAGGGGGTAGATGGAACGAAAGTAGGAGGGGGCTTGTAGCAATAACTGGGCTTTGGCATTGGCTTGCTGGTGTGGGTTTTAGCCAGGCTCCACCCACAGATCGTTTTCTTAGGAGAGGTCACCAGAAAACTGGCAAACTGTGAATACACTCTGCATTTAAAACTGCAGCAGTAGTCTGCAAGCAGGAATAGGGGGTTGTAATCGGCTTTCCTTCTAAGGGAAAGCTGGGAACCTTCTCATTTCACTTCATGAAAAATAAGCCATGAGGCAACTTCTGCCAAACATCTATTAATTGGATGAAACAGGTCTCTTGCCCGAGATCTGACTTCAGCTGTTTATTTCCAGCACAGCCAGTTCTTTCCTCTGCAGCTGATTGGCTCTGGAGTGTGGCCAGAAACCTACTTCCCGCAGTTAAAGGAGTCAGATCTCTAACTATTGATCTGTTTTCTTCTCTTCTGAGTGATGGCGCTCACCATTTTAATCCTCCGGCTGGCCGTCTGCATCCTGGCATTTCCCATGTACCTGCTGGACTTTCTGGGCTTGTGGAACTGGATATGCAAACAGTGGTTCCCCTACTTCCTGGCGAGGTTCACTGTGATGTACAACAAACAGATGGCGAGCAAGAAGCGGGAGCTCTTCAGCAACCTGCAGGAGTTCACGGGCCCCTCTGGGAAGCTCTCCCTGCTGGAGCTGGGCTGTGGCACCGGGGCCAACTTCAAGTTCTACCCCTCTGGATGCCAGGTGACCTGTGTTGATCCCAACCCCAACTTTGAGAAGTTCTTGATCAAGAGTATTGCCCAGAACCCACACCTGCAGTTTGAGCGCTTCATAGTGGCTGCCGGGGAGAACATGCACCAGGTGGCCACAGGCTCCATGGATGTGGTGGTCTGCACCCTGGTGCTCTGTTCCGTGAAGAACCGGGACCAGATCCTCCAGGAAGTGTGCCGAGTGCTGAGGCCGGTGAGTATGGGCTGAGAAGGGCTGCTTAGTAGCAACCACCATCACCAAGGGCAGTCCTCCCAATTTCACTAGATCAAACACCCTAACATAAAAGTAAAGCTACTAGAAAAAAATACTGTTGAATTTTTTAAGAAAAAATCTTAAAGTGTAGAAGAAGCTTTAAAGAAATAGACTGATAATACATAAATAAATAAAATTTTAGAACTCCTGCAGGGAAAAGGAATGGACTATAAACAAACTTAAAGTACAAAAAAAAATTATAAAAATATTTGCCAAGGATGATAGACAAGGGGTTAACGTCCTTCATATTAAAAGACATTACAAATCAACAATAGGATTCTTCAATCAATTGTTTTTAAAAAGAGAAAAAGAAGCAAAAAAGAAGCAAATTACTGGAACAGAAATATAAAGAGAGCCAATGTGATTTAAATGTTTAATCTTGCAATTAAATAACAAATTAAAGCAAGATATTTTATAATGGAATCTTAAAACTAACAAGTGAATCTAACAAAACAGAAACAAATTCACAGAGAGAACAAACTAGTGATCACCAGCTGGGAGAGGGTAGAGGGGAGGAACAGGACAAGGGTATGGGATTAAGAGATAGGAGCTACTGTGTATAAAATAAATAAGCAACAAGGATATATCCCATAGCACAGGTAAATATAGCCATTATTTTGTAATAACTTTAAATAGAGTATGTTGTCGTTCAGTTGCTCAATAGGGCCCAAATCTTTGCAACCCCATAGGCTGCAACATGCCAGGCTTCCCTGTCCTTTACCATTTCCCAGAGCTTGCTCAAACTCATGTCCATTGAATCAGTGATGCCATCCAACCATCTCATCCTCTGTCATTCCCTTCTCCTTCAATCTTTCCCAGCATCAGGGTCTTTACTAATAAGTCAGCTCTTCACATCAGTTGGGTAAAGTTTTGGAATTTCAGCTTCAGCATCAATCCTTTCAATGTATATTCAGGGTTGATTTCCTTTAGGATTGACTGGTTTGATCACCTTGCAGTCCAAGGGACTCTCAAGAGTCTTTTCCAAGACTACATTTCAAAACCACCAATTCTCTGGCGTTCAGCCTTCTTTATGGTCCAACTCTCACATCCATACATGACTACTGGAAAAGCCATAGCTTTGACTAGACAGACCTTTGTTGGCAAAGTAATATCTCTGCCTTTTAATATGCGGTCTAGGTTGGTCATAGCTTTTCTTCCAAGGAGCAATCATCTTTTAATTTTGTGGCTGCAGTCACCATCTGCAGTGATTTTGGAGTCCAAGAGAATAAAGTCTGTCACTATTTTCATTGTTTCCCCATCTATTTGCCATGAAGTGATGGGACCAGATACCATGATCTTAGTTTTCTGAAGGTTGAACTTTAAGCCAACTTTTTCACTCTCCTCTTTCACCTTCATCAAGAGGCTTTTTAGTTCCTCTTTGCTTTCTGTCATAAGGGTGGTATCATCTGCATATCTGAGGTTATTGGTATTTCTTCTGGCAATCTTGATTCCAGCTTGTGCTTTATCCACCTGGTATTTCTCATGATGTAATCTGCATATAAGTTAAATAAGCAGGCAGACAATATACACCTTGACATACACCTTTCCCAATTTCGAACCAGTCCGTTCTTCCATGTCCAGTTCTAACTGTTGCTTCTTGACCTGCATACAGGTTTCTAAAGAGGCAGGTAAGGTGGTTCTGGTACTCCCATCTCTTTAAGAATTTTCCACAGTTTGTTGTGATCCACACAGTCAAAGGCTTTAGCATAGTCAATAAAGCAGAAATAGAAGTTTTTCTGCAATTCACTTGCTTTTTCCACAGTGCAATAGATGTTGGCAATTTAATCTCTAGTTCCTCTGCCTTTTCTAAATCCAGCTTGAACATCTGGAAGTTCTCCGTTAATGTACTATTGAAGCCTTCCTTGGAGAATTTTCAGCATTACTTTGCTAGTATGTGAAATAAGTGCAACTGTTCAGTAGTTTGAAGACTTTTTGGCCTTGCCCTTCTTTGGGATTGGAATGAAAACTGACCTTTTCCAGTGCCGTGGCCACTGCTGTGTTTTCCAAATTTGCTGCCATATTGAGTGCAGCACCTTCACAGCATCATCTTTTAGGATTTGAAATAGCTCAGCTGGAATTCCATCACCTCCACTAGCTTTGCAGTGAAGCTTCCTAAGGCCCACTTGACTTTGCACTCCAAGATGTCTGGCTCTAGGTGAGTGATCACACCATCGTGGTTATCTGGGTCATGAAGATCTTTTTTGTATAGTTCTTCTGTATATTTTTACCACTTCTTCTTAATATCTTTTGCTTCTGGTAGGCCCATACCATTTCTGTCCTTTACTGTGCCCATCTTTGCATGAAATGTTCCCTTGGTATCTCTAATTTTCTTGAAGATGAGAGAGTTAATTCTTAGGTAAGTTGATGAGGAGTCCAGGGCCCTCAAGGAGGAGAAAGGGACAAAGATTTTTGTCTACATGCCCTCATCTTAGTCACATAAGACTTTTTTTTCTTTAAGCATACAGCTAATGATTACACAACAAAACAACTTATCTTGCTCAAGGGCTTGTTTTTCCTTAAATTCTGTACTAATGATTACATAACAACATTATATCTTGCTGGAAGACATATTTAAGAACCTTCTGATTAATCCTGTTATCTTAAAATGTTTGTTTGTTTGGGTCTGATAAGACCTTTCTCTTGTTAATAACCAATTGAAAAGTTCATAAGGCCTTGGTAAGACTAGTGGGGCACTCTCTGCCCACTTCTGATGTCTATGTCGGAAGCTTTCTCTACCCCCTTCTCACTGTAATAAAACTTTTGCCAGGAAGCTCTGAGTGACTAAAGCTGAGTGTCTGAATCTGAAGCAAAATTCTCTCCATTGGAGATCATGAACCCGACACCATTCACCATTCACCATAGGCTATCAAAGAGATCTCTAGTCTTTTCTATTCTATTATTTTCCTCTATTTCTTTGCATTGTTCACTTAAGAAGGCTTTCTTATCTCTCCTTGCTATTCTTTTAAACTCTGCATTCAAATGGGTATATCTTTCCTTTCTCCTTTGCCTTCAGCTTCTCTTCTCAACTATTGATATGTCCTCTTCAGACAGCCATTTTTCCTTTTGCATTTCAAAAACCACTTTTTGTACAATGATCACCACTTCCTGTACAATGTCATGAACCTCTGTCCATAGCTCTTCACTCTATCAGATCTAATTCCTTGAATCTATTTGTCACTTCCACTGTATAAGCATAAGGGATTTGATTTAGGTCATGCCTGAATGGGCTAGTGATTTTCCCTATTTTCTTCAATGTAAGTCTGAATTTTGCAATAAGGAGTTCATGATCTGAGCCACAGTCAGCTCCTGGTC